TTTTCGGTCTATTTCCATGATTTGATAAGTGCAGATTTTGCACATGCATCGCGACGCACTGAATCGCCCGCCACGGCGTATAGCACAAAAAGCCCTACGAAATTTTAAACTTCCTTCCGTGCCATGGCCAATTTGAACCTCAACCTAGCCCTCTTTTAAGGCTGTCCAAGGATTTAAAAACCATATTAGTCTCCATAAACCTCGCTAAATAGCAATTTATCTAAATTGAATAAATTACCCTTGAAAATATTGATAATTACTAATAAGGGAACTTAGGATGTTACAAAAAAACACACAAAGACTTGGGATTTATGGAGTAAATCCTCTTTATGTCTCTCTTTAGTTGTTTATATGTGTAATTGTTAATGTATTTGCCAACTAGGATTAATTATCATGTTTGGTGTACTACTTGCATGATTTTATAATTAACTAGTGTATTTTATGCCCTGGGTTAGTGAGCTTTTGTTATAAACCTAAGGATAAGGCCAAAATACTCGTGCAAGTATGAACATATGTATTTTAGAGAAATATGAATGAAATGGTTAATTTTATGCAACTTTTCCTCCCCCTCTATGTTTTATGAAAATTAAAATTGAGTGGTGATTTTACAAAATAAGTGTATTTTATTACATGTGGTGTATTGCACGAGTCCGCAAGAGTCCATTGAGTATGGTCAGATAGCTTGTGTAAGCTTTTGGCACTTGTGGTTGAGTTGGGACATCCATTTGGGAGATTTTGTGAAAGTATGGTAGAAATAGATTTTAGTGTCTAATTTTTGATAAAAAAATCAATTTGAATGTAAAACTAGTGCCATTAGCTAGAGCTAGGAGAAAGCTCCGTGTAGACACCAAAACCACCTCAATTGGACATCGGACGGAGATTTAGGATGTGTCGGAAGTTCGCTCCTTGTGCTGTCAAATGACAACACTGATCTGTCAAATTTTGTGCAATACACTACGGTGCATGGCACAGAGGAGACATGCTGCGGCGCATTATTTGTCAAATTCTATTTAAAAATCTATTTTGTGCAATATACTTGTCAAATTCTATTTAAAAATCTATTTTGAGTTTTAAACTCATTATTTGGGGTCCTAATTGATTTCCAAGCTTTCGCTTTGTCTTCAAAACTCTGATTTGGAGTCCTTAAAACATGTTTGAGATTTGAACAGTTGAAAATTAGGATTCCTTGAAATAGATTTTGAGAAATTCATTTATAAACACTACAGTTTAGTAATTCTTGTGAGTTAAGCCCTGGATTATCATAATTTAGAGTTAAGTGTGATTTAACCTTAAGGAGGTTACATCATATTCATGCTTGAGTGTTCTACTCAAGCGCAACTCTACCAAGGTCTTAAATGAGTTTGTATTTTAGGGCAAACTTAGAACTCTTGGTGTTCATACTCAGTATTATCCATCATAGCATATACTTACTCGCATGTACCCTAAAACTCCATTCTTTCATAAATGTAATATTCTAATTTAATTTTTAGAGTTAATTAAAATTAATAAAAAATAGAAAGAATGTTTGAAGGTGAATAAATTAATTAGGAGATTTTTTGAACTTAAGATATAATTTTATGTTAAGTTTTGTTTTTAGAAATTGGAAATAATAATGATAATTGATCATATATATACACCACATAGATGTATAAGAGAAGAGGTAGTGGTATTAGGAAAAACCAGCAAGTATATTATAATAATAATTTTTAGAGGTAAGGCGGCGGAAAGGGAGTATATCAATTATGATTTTTGCCTTTCCTTACAAACACACATGCAAGAGAGAGAGAGAGAGAGAGAGAGAGAGAGAGAGAGAGAGAGAGAAGGGGAAGGAGAAGACAAGAGATTTGAAAAGATTTTGAGGTAAGATTTCATATTCAAAACTATTTCTATTATTAAAACTCCTTTTATAAATATTTTTTTACTCGTCTAGAGCTTTCTAATGATAGTAAATTTTTTATGAGTGGAGTAAATGTTAAAGTTTGAATTTAGAGTAAATATTGACTTTTAACAACAAAAATTATTAATTAGTGGAAATAAATTAGTACTTGAATTATATTGGTTTAAATTTATTTTATTAATTGATTTGAGAGTTTAAAATTAAGTTTTTAACTATAAAATTTATGATTTATGATTTATGATGTATAGGATATCTATATCAATTAAATTGTGTTTTTGAAATTTAGATAAGTTAATTTAATTAAATTTTAGATTTTTATCAGACGGATTTAGATTAAAAGGATATGGTTGTAAATTTAAGAAGTTTAGTTGAATTTTATATTTAATTGATAAATTACTATATATATAATGTATTTATATCATTCAATGTCGTAGATTAATCTATTATTGTGGCTAAGAAGTTTCCTATACATCTAAGTTAGTTATAGTTTGGAAAGAGATAACATTAAAATATCCTTTCACATATTGAGATATTGATTTTTATTTTATATATATATATATATATATTTAATACTTGTGTGATTTTATTGTAAAATATAACATTTGTTTATGTGATACAAAAAAGGTAATAAAGATGGCTATAATATAATTGTTTGTTTGGGGTTGATGACTGAATATTTATGCCGCATGGTTTACCTCTACTATGCACATAGTGGTTGGCCTTTTTTTATAGTTCCTAATGTCTTTGACATTTTGAGACAATGAGCACCTCCTTTTAAGGAAGAAAGCCCTATTTTGATGACAATATACCTTTGGCCGGGTATAATCTCAGTTCAAGCTCCAGCTAGCAGTAATAAGGGAGTTGGGAGCCATAAGAATGATGTTGGGAAATGTATTACTGTTATTTTAATTTGATATTGATTTAGAAATTATTATATAACTGTGAATATTGCATTTCTTATTTTATGTATGGGTTGTAAAATACATATGTATACCTATAGATATGTTTGCAAACTGGTTTCAAAAAATATGTTGGTATATGTTAGAATAACCAATTGTTATTGAGATTTTGATTTCACACGTTACTTCTTATCATTTTTAGGTGAGCAATCAAGTAGAGCTACAGGGAAGGCACCAAAGAAGTGAGCTTAGGCTCCCTTCTCTCGGCTTGGCACATGGTTTTTTATTTATTTTGTAATTATAGTTTCCATGACCTAGGGACCTTTATAAATTTTATTTTGAATAATTGTTATAGGTTATTTGACTATAACTACTTAATCTTTTTATTTGAGTTGGATAACTTTTAAACATATTGATATGAACCATGGTTTTATATTGGGCCAAGTCTATTTATTTTGAATTGTACATATTAATAGTATAAAAAAAATGTGTGTGTAGAAGAGTTGATTATATCTATAAACTGTTATTAAACCCTGAACTTACTACAAATTATTTATTAGGCTTCATCTGCCCTGAACCCAATGGTAATGTTAATCTCGATATCATTTTTTTTAGACAAGTGTATTTTTGAGAAAAATATTTATTTATAAAGAGAAAAGGAAGGGGAAGGTTTTTCTTTTAAGTAGGGGCTATGGTAATTAATATTAATTTATAATAATTCTTTTAAACTACCCAAGATATTTTATAATATCCAACATAATAGGCGCTCCATTCTTCAACATAAGCTTGTGAGAAAGCAAGCCAAAGCTATTAACAGTGTTTAGGAATTCTATTGTGCAAAGATTATTAAAGGAATCACTATCTTGTGTTGACTTGCAAACTATATCACAACTACAATAGTCAATTAATTCCTCGAGTAATAAAGAACACATAAAATCATTGATTTGGCTAACGTTCTCAATGGTTAGTGCAAGGATAACACTATCATTAAATTAAAATAATTGGAATTTGACAAGTTGGCCAATTGATTTGGATATGTTGCTAACATAATTGCATTTAAGGGGTCAGAATAATTGGATATCAAAAACTCTAGAGGAATAACAATATCTGCCACACCATCACAAAGTAGTCTCACTTTACCATCTTCCACGTCTAGCAACCATTGTGAAAAAAAATTTCAACTTATCACAATCAATGTTAGGTGAAGATGATGACAATCCCATATTTTTCATCAAATGAAAAAATTTATAGCATTTCCAAAGGTAAGATGAACTAATACATGTGTTTACAATACTTGCTCTAGTACCTTTTGATATGAGTGGTAAGATTTGATAGAAATCACCCCCACTAAGAATACACTTCCCACCAAAAGGCAAATCACAATGCATGATATCCCTAAGTGTTTGATCAATCCAATTAAAGATCGAGTAAGGTATCAAAATATGAAAGGCAATATGAGATTCTTGCAATTTGTAATCCTAAAATAATATTCTCATACATGCTAGCTAGTTAGGAGAGATTCGCATTGGATTCTTGAATTTTATTCTTGAACTAGGATCAAATTAGGAACCAAATTCGATTTTCAAAAATCAAACTATTCAAAAAAAATTTAATTTTTTTATCAAATTTTTTTAAAATGATCAATTTTTTTAGTCATTTGATGTTATATTGTACCATATAGTTTGTTAAGTCATGAAAAACTTAAATTATTTTATTTTTAAATAAAATAACAATTTTAAATTTATTTCTTATATTTAAATTATTATATACATATATAATTTTTTAATTTATTATTACATCATCAATTTGACTATACTCAGTACTTGTTTTGATTCATTATTGAAAAGTTGCTGATTTGAAATTGTTTGATGTAATTTGCAAAAGAGGAGTTTGCCGATCATACAAACGAATTTTTTTCTTCGACCAAAACAAAACGAATTTTTTCTTTTTTAACTTGGGTATATACAATTGAAGATTCTCATCCTTAGCCAAGAGGAAAGAATTCCCATGGATCACTTTCCCCCTTTCCAGCACGAAAATGGAAATTCTATCTCAATATTAACAGGAAGCATCACTCACGCTATAATATCCACCACATTAAACTTCCAGATCACGTTGAAGCTGTTGCAGAAAATATGATTTTAGCTAATCCCTGAAGTTGAGCAGCAACTTCTATTCAACAGACAAATTCTACAAAGATCACGAGAGTTTCAATCTTCATTGGATTAATTTGGCTTCTTATAAAAGTAAAAATAGAACAAAATCTTTTGAAGCATATTCTTTGGTGAAAAACAAAATGAAACCAGCACAATGTAAAACGGTCTCAAATGCATGATCAGTTGAGACGATCTATGAGGGGAGTCGTAACAAACAACTATCAAGACGCCACTTCAGTTGCTTTAACTCTTCACGCTACCCTTTTTTACCAGTACTCTTCAAGCTACTTGCTCGTATCAGGATTTCAATCTCAAGAATGTGCATCACATTGACCAGTAAGCTGACTTGATTATACCCATCCTCGCAGCTCAGAGCTCATCATGGCTTTGAGGTTCATCCTTATTCATCAAGTCCAGCTTGTGTTGTAGCTCCTAGAATATTTTCCCATTAATTCAAGAATGTCAGAAAATTTAAAGCAAGAAACAAAGTGGTAGGTACTAGTTATTATCATACAATGGAAGAATTACCTTGAGCTTTTCCTCACGGCAAAGGGCTGGGGTAGACAAGAATGCTACGTACCTGCCACGAAGGCCATGACAAGACAACAAAAAGGAAATGAAATAAAGAGAAGATCGTAGGAGAAGGAAGCAGAAAATGAAAAAGAAAACAAAATAAAACAAAAAATCTTTACTCGCAACGGCTTGGTTCATCTACATCAGTAATCTCATTTGTCAACCCACATCTTAGCCTGACCTGTACAGAATATACCACTAATCACTACTGGGACTTGCCCCACCACGGCACAAGGTTTAGCATAATAACAACCTCCAAAATGCACCTCTCAAACCGAGGAGGTACTAATTTATCTATTAAGATAGCCTTATGAAAATCAGAATAACATTAATATTGTACTTGATCAAACGGAAGAGACAAACAAGATTCTGTAAACAAAGTAATGAAAGAAAAGGCATTTTTAAATAAAAATCGGAAAATGTATCGAGTAAGAAAGGTTTTGCACAAGTAACTACCTTTAAACTCCTATCAGGCCCATTCCAGCATTTATCACCATTAGAGAAAGCCATAATTCTGTAAGATTCCTCAAATTTGTCCCACCGTCTGTTAAAAATAGATAGATCATTGTTGTATTCACCATAGTCGTCAAAATGAGAGGTTCATAATGGGAAATATAATGCCTGATTCCAAGTCATGAATGTATCATTCATAAGATACGGCAACAAATTGATAATTCTCTTACAAACTATAAGATAAAATATGATGTGCTTATAACATTACTAAAATACTCAAGATAGTAAATTTAACCTGTTCATCAAAGGCCAGTTCCGTATAAAAAATGCTCTGTAGTTTTGATTATTTAAATATACCAATAAAATCATCAAGAGGCCTTTAATTGATCAGAGAAGTTCAATTAATAAGAAGATGGAGAAAAAGAAATCCTCAAACAGAAACAGTCCAACGATCCCTTGCTATCAATACTCAATACTTTTCTATCCTTTATTAGCTCTACGTTAGCAATAAATATGAATTATTATCTGTTTTTCTCTCTTTAGGCATGACCTGCGAGTCACTTATGCCTATAAATAACCTTGCTCCATTCTCTTCCACTGCAACACAAAATTCAAATATCAATAATTTTGCCCATGAATCTTTTTCAAGTTCTTCTTTTCTTCTCAAAGAAGGTAACATTAGGTCATGATAGATCAGATCTGATTGCTCAGCCAAGCAAAATTCAGCATTAGGTTATTCATCCAGAAATCACACCAATTCATGGTGAAATCTGGCCTAATAGTGACCCCGCCTCTGATAAACTATCATTGGAAATTTTTTTTTTTTTGGTAGCAAATCTTGCAATTCAAATTGTGAACAGTAAAGTTCCAACTAACAACAATTGGGGCCTTACCGTTAACTAATTGTATTCTTAATGAGAGAAAAAGAAAAGCCGTACAGCAAAAACAACTGATTCTTATTGACAAGATAAACTAGCAAACTTCCTACCTTCCATATGAAATAATCTAAAGAAAAAACTATAACAAATGAGAATAGACCCTCAAAGATCGACTTATTTTGCAAGCTGCAAGGTAAAAAATATGCAGCAAGGTTTAATAAAACCCTACCCCAAGCGTGTGGTGCTATAGCCTTCCTCCTGAGAGGCCTCTTTATAAGGACAGACCTTGTAAGTGTACCTGAACCAAAATTTTCATCACCCGAAAGTAAGAAAAAGTGAAACTACCATAATTGCAGCAACACAAAATTACTGAATGCAGAAGAAACAGAAAATAAAGCAGTAGTGGACAGATAATGTAACTTGTTCTGCTTGCTCTCAAAACAACGATCATAGAATGAATAGAACTCCTTCTCTGGACCTGTAATACTCAGCTTCAGTTTTTTCACGCCAATTCAGACCAACTCATCACACTCTAATTCAATTTCTACAATAATGACAAACGTTATCAACACCATACTGACCAAAATCATGTTTTAGCTTTTGCTTCAAACTTGAAATTCTCGACTGTAATTTAGACAATTTGGTACTTGACTCATCATACTCCTTGCGTACTCGAGCAGCATCTTAAGAGGACAATGACAATGGCATAAGCGCTATATATATATATATATATTATAATGGCAAAAGCTATATATATTATAATGCATAACAGAGCATTGATGCACACCTGACTGGTTCACTGGAGTCTGAAATAAATTAACAGCCTGAAAAATGTTTCGTACAGTCTTCTGTATTTTCTCTAACCAAGAAGGGCTGTTTGCTGTAGTGACATCTGGAATTTAATCAATTTATCTTATCACAAGTCCAGCTGTACAGCAACATTTCAATAACAAATCTGGACCTTCTGCTGATACAAACCTGACAAATCAGGAGTAATATCATTGTCGGATTTGTAGGATGAGCTAAGGTCATCATGCTCCTCATGGAAGTCTTCATCCATTTCATCTTCTATGTCAACATCGTCATATTTGTGGCTGTCATCATCTGTTTCAGACACATAACCTTCATATTCCTCGTGATTTGTCTCCTGTGGAAGATCCTCATAATCTTCATTAGCTTTATTAATCATTGCATCAGCTTCAGCACTTTGCTTAGCAGGATTTTCTCCTGTCCAACGAGAAGCAACAAGCCGACCCAACTCTTCTTTGACAATCCCTCAGTACTTTCAGGTAAATCATTTCCCTACAGATGTAGCATGAAGGGAACAGTTGCGGACAGAGTTAAAAGCAATCAGGCATGCCAAGTGTTTCTGAATTAAGAATCTGGCAACGTAAAGATATAGGACAAGAAATTTACCAATTCATATAAGAAAAAACAATCTCCTGAGAGATAGAAGAACAGAAATTTAAATTGTTAAGGCTTCTACAATATATGTTGGAAAATGCTAGTTCAAGATCAACCTAATTAACTGGACAAATATATTTGATCTATAATGCACAATTTCCCTTGGTTAAAAAATTTGTTTGCAAAGAAATTGTCGGCTACATCATGTGAGGTATATCATTAATCCAAACATTATCTAATCGCTCCGTAATATTTAGTGCTAATGTCATTGTGTACATGCTATGATGATGATTAAGCCTTTAAATACAAGGCAAGTGAAATCCAGCCATCAAAATTGCCTTTACAAGCATACCAAGTTTTCCAACATGGTACATCTTTCCATAAAATCATGCAAATTAAACTTTCTAAACTGAACTCCAAATAGCAAAGGGGAGTATTCCCTTAATTTATAGTTTTTACAATACAAATAGTTTCCAAACCTAACCAAGTGACCCTCATATAAAATTTCCATTCATCACTCCCCTTTTCACAATTGCAGGAGCCAAAAACTTTAATTAAAAAAATCAGTCAGTTATTAACTCTAGATATTATGAAAAACCAGATAAATTTATTGGGGAAACACTGTCACAGAATACTGTGACCAGCATAATCATAAATCCGTATGGCTGCACCAGCACCTCTAAAGTGCAAATATTCAACATGGAAATATCATTTAAAATTATAAAAAGGAAAGAACACCATCCGGAATGAAATACTCTGATACTGGTAAAATTTCATCCACGCCTATGAACTGGTTAACAAATTATTTCAATAGATGTTCAATCCTAAAATAAGGGAAGAGATCTTCACGATTTAAGATGAATCATTAACCAACTTATAACGACTTGGTACCAGCTCTTTCATCTTTCCTTCTACTTGTTAATGTACAAAACATATTAAAAGAAGAGAAGAGTAAAAGGGCAAAAAGATAAGATTTCGATGTTAATAAAAAGGAATTTTATAGAACAACACACAACCAACACAAACTTTATTGCTTCATATTTATATAAACAAACCAGAAGACAAGGCATTCAGATGAATAATGTACAAGGCTAACGAAGCAGAGCAAGGTAGCATGAGCTACCCAGTTCCACATGAAGTTTGGTTTGCTCTATAGGGTATCCAAGTCAGTTGGTTCTCCTAGTTCAATAGCTAACTTTTTAGATAGGGTTCCCCACCCTACTTAAGTGCCAGCCAATTAACATCACAGTTGGTGGTCAGTTGGCTGCAACAAATGGTTTTAACCAGCATGAATGCTAAGTACAGTGTCACAAAGTGAATTGCTGAGCAACTAATTTGCGAAGGGAAGAATTATTAATCAAATTCTGATGGTCGGGTGTGTTGATGCAGGTTGAGCTGGAACACCAACCAATCATCAATCCACTATTGGTTACTGTATATTTCTTAAAGGAAATTCTCTTGGAAAAGAAAGAAACAAGATATGACAAGATCTAGTCCTGAAACTGAATAACATGCCATGAAACCAGAAACGTGTGAGCTTATGTGGATAAAACAATCACTACAAGAACTTCCCTTTCAGAAATCTTGACCACATGACACTAAAGCGTGATAATCAAACTACTCTACGCACTGCTTCCAATCCAGTCATTCATAAAAGGACCAAATACATTGAAATTGATTGCCACTTCATCAAAGAAAAGATCTAATCTAGAATTATTTCCACTAGCCACATTGGCTCCAGTGTTCTTGCAAAAATATCAAGAAGACTCTGCATTTCCAACATTTCCACCAAGCTTAGTTCACATTCCTATACATTTTATATTATATACTGATGCACCGATCATGCTTGTTTTTAAATTGAAATTTTATTATTAAATTAATTTCAACTTTTCAAAATAACGTTTAATAAAATTTTATTTATAAGTTTCAGCCCCCATAAAAAAAATTTTGGTTCCATCTCTGCATGTCAGGAGATGCCACTTCAGCTACTATGAATTTAGATGAAAAGAAAATTACAATCCACAAAATTTTCATTCACCTCTTCCACTCCTATATGTGAAGATCCTTCACTTCCAGGAGCATCTGGGGCTACATTATCATTATCAAGTACATCCGCCAACTTCTGATCCTGTTCCGCATCCTACACAAATGGAAGTAAAAGTTACATAATATACCAGCAAACCTTGACCAGAGAAAAGAAAGTTGGTGAATGAATGAAGTGGTAAAAGAGTTGAATCAAGGAAACAATCAAGAACCACACTGAAGGGGAAAAGAAGTACCACAATCATTTGGTTGGAAAATGATCCTTATTAATTTTCAAATTTGGACAAATTAAGGTTCAAAAAAGATCACAACGATCTATCTGCATAGTGCATCCTCTTGTGACACTAATTACCAAATTAATCTCTTCATAAGTAAAATGTATTTCTTCAGAATACCATATCCTTAAAAAAAAATAAAAAATAAAAATCAACCTGTTGCATAGGAGAATCAACGACAGAGCCACTTCTATCATGGTCACTAGCCACATCATTGTCTTTGCCATCAGATTGCTCCACAGCTTCGTTTCTATGCTGTGTATCTTCTCCATCCAGTTTAGGGTTCTCTTCATTAGCCTTCCTCTCAGCCTCCTTTTTCTGCTTCTCTTCTTTTTCCTTCTGCAGCCTTTCCTTCTCCTCAGCCTTCTCTATCTGTTCTTTATGCTCTGCAAAGGAGGTGTAAGGGGCAATATACTTAATTTATATTGCCAAAGAAATATCTTATATAAAGACATTAACATAAGATAACATTTTATCTCAAATAAAAGAACAAATAGGTGCTCTGCCTCACATTTTCCTGTTTGTTATGCAGTGCCCATGAGAAGTTACTCATTCTCTCCATGAATTAGTTCACAAACTAATATTTAAATTCCTGGTATACGAAAATTTAATTAAAAGGCAACAGGAAAAACTCTCCTCACATAATGGATAAAAATTTCATGTGACAAACTCAGAAATTCCTCAAAACCATCACATCACACTACAACCCTAAAAGTTGTGAATATAGTACATTTCCACAAAGCCTTATGCACCTTTCAGGTATGAATAAAAGGGGAGTAACTAACACTAGGCTAGTTACTTGGAGGGAAAGGGAGTTTGGTTAGTTGGGAACAAATAATGGCTCTAGTTCACCTCTCACACAATTTTAACTCATTGGTGAATGAAGTTCTGATGGAACTAAGAAAGATTACTGATATATTTCCACTATTCAAGTTAGTTACAACCTCTTCTAGGGTGATGGAAGAGGAAAAAGGGATAGGTGAACTAAGAACAGTAACAACAGAAAATAGCCATAAACGGTAAGGAAAATAAGGAAAGAAAAAGAAATGCTTCCCTGACTTTCAAGAGGTCAGGAGCTCCCTAGCCACCACTGTCTGATTGCCTACTCCTCTCTTGCACACAACCTTAGATAACTGCTTCTATGCCACTACTCTTGGGGTTGTTGGCTTTCAGGCCTGTAGTTGGATGCTTTGCTGCCTCTGTCATACTAACAGGGCCCTTCTTGGTAATCTTGGGCTGTCTCCTCTCATACACCGGCCCACTAAGGCTGTAGTCTCACCATCTCCCCTGCCTAGACCTCTCACTTTGTCCTCAAGGGAAAAATCAGGAAACTAGAAGGCGATAGTAGTCATATCCTCCCACATCCTCCCACGTGTTATCACAATCTGATAAATTTTTCCACTTAATCAGAACTTGTTTACTGCCATCAGTCATGCATCTCACCTTAACAACTTCTGCAGGTTGAACCTGTAATTCATATAGGATTTTTTGAGCTGGGATACATGAAAAGTAGGATGCATCCTTGCTGTTTCTGGTAATTTGAGCTGATAGGTAACCTTTCCCACTTGCTGTATGATCTCATAGGGCCCATAAAACTGGGGAGAAAAAACTTCTCATTTTGTTTTTTGGCTAGGTTCTTGAGCTTGTAAGGCTGCATGCACAGGTAAACCTTGTCTCCCACTTGAAACTCCGCCTCCCTTCTCTTCTTGTCAGCTGGTTCTTTCATAACCACTTGCACTTGCTCAAGATGAGATTTTAGTCGCTGCAGCATCTCATTTCTTTCCCAAATCTGCTCATTAACTTCTTCTACCATACAATTATCATCTTTCCACTTTAAAACTGTAGGGGGATCCCTTCCACACAAGGCTTTGAAAGGTGTAGTTCCCAATGACCAGTTGTCAGTGGTGTTGAACCAAAACTCTAACCAAGGTAACATCTTCACCCATTGTTTTTAGTCATTCACCAACAAAACACCTCAAGTAGGTCTCAAGACTTCGATTAACCATCTCAGTTTGTCCATCAGTTAGAGGATTGTATCCCGAGCTATACTTAAGAGTGGTACCCGAGTAAGCAAACAACTCCCTCCAAAACTGACTAATAAATATTCTATCTCTATCGGACACAATAGATTTTGGGAAACCATGCAGCTTCACCACTTTTGCAATAAATCTCTCAGGCACATCTTATCAGTGAAGGGATGGCATAGTGGTATGAAATGAGCATAATTTGGTAAAACGATCAACAACTACCATAACAGTGTCATAACTTGTGGCTGAGGGCATGCCAACTATGAAATCCATGCTGATGTCTTCCCATAAATGTTAAGGAATAGGTAAGGTTTGTAATAAAACTGCTGGACTAACCACTTCATATTTGTTGCGTTGGCAAACTGCACACCTTGCAACCTGATCCTAAACATCCTTCTTCATCCCTTCCCAATACACCGCCTCCGATAACCTTTTGTAGGTACGTAGGTAGCCCGAGTGGCCACCCATAGGGGAATTATGGAACTCAACAATCAAAGCAATAGTTTTAGATGTGTGTTTGGGTAGAACGAGTCTATCTTGATAAAGTAAGCACCCATTTTTCATTGAATATCCAACTAGAATGTCTTTTCCCAATAAAATTTGTTCTCATATCCTTTTAAGTCTCTCAACTCCGCCTATATTTATAGCCAGTCCCAAACCCAGGTAAAGGAGGAGGGTTGTGTTAGGCCATTAACAGCCAATGTAAAACTTTGTTGATGTTATTATTGTTGGCATCTTGCAATCCATATAGCCGACCCCACCTAGTGGGATAAAGCTTGTTGTTGTTGTTGTTGTTGTATCCTTTTAAATTTCTCGTCTTTGGCTATTTTAGCCTCAAATTCTTTCCGAGATAAAGCATCAGCAGCACAATTTTCCTTATCCAGTTTGTACTATATCTCAAACTTAAAGGCCATCAATTTCATAATCCATTGTTTTGATCAAGATCTACAATTCATTGTTCCAGTAAGTGCTTTAAAGCTGTTTGGTCTGTTTTGATGATGAACGGAGCCCCTGCGAGGTAGTGTTGCTACTTCTTAATGGCAAAGACGATTACCATTAATTCTTTTTCATGCAGGAACCCCTGTTGCACCTTTCCTGTTAGTTGTTGGCTGAAATAGGCAATGGGTTTCCCTTGCTACATTAAAACTGCTCCCACCCCCCATTCTACAAGCGCCTGCTTCTATACGAAGGGCAATTGAAAACCAGGCATGGCTAAGACTGGTGCATTTACAATGGCTGATTTCAACTATTCAAAGGCAGCCTGAGCTGGATCTCCCCTCTTAAAAGCATTTTTCTTCAACACTGTCGTCAAAGGAGCCGCAATTTTCCCACAATTTTTAATGAACTTATAGTAATACCTAGTGAGTCCCAAAAATCCTCTTAAACTCCTTATATCCTTCGAAACAAGCCATGACACTATCGCTTCAATTTTTGCTGGGTCAATCTTGACACCTCGAGCAGTGATAATATGCTCAGAGTACTCTAATTGTTATTGCCCAAAGCTATACTTCTTGAGGTTAACAACGAGCTTGTGTTGCCATAATACCTCCAGCACCTTGCTCAAATGCTCCAAATGCATGGGTTCATCCCTGCTATACACCAGGATATCATCAAAAAATACTAAAATGAATTTCTTCAAATAATCTCTAAAAATATTGTTCATCAATGACTGAAAAGTAGAAGGGGAATTAGTAAGGCCGAAAGGCATAACCAAAAATTCATAATGGCTGCATGCGTGCAGAAGGCTATTTTGTGTTAATCTCCAGCCTTGATACGAATCTAATAGTACCCCGACTTCTAATCTAATTTCAAAAAAATGGTAGCATTCCCAAGTTCATCCAACAACTCATCTATTGATGGGATAAGATACTTGTCAAGTACAGTTACGTTGTTCAATGCCCTATAATCAGCATAAGACCTCTAGCTACCATCCTTTTTCCTGACGAGGAGCATCGGGCTTAAGTATAGATTGCTACTAGGCTATATAATACCAGATCATCTCCTTAACCAACTTCTCAATTTCAGCCTTGCGAGTACAAGAGTAACGATAAGGGGCGAAGGTTCAGAGGTTAGGTCCCCTCTTTAATCACAATAGAGTGGTCCCATGTCTGTTTAGGTAGTAACCCTAAAACTGGCTTACATATCTCCTAAAATTTTTCCAGCAATTTCTAAATTTCCAGGGACATGGGTGTTGATTCCACAAGTTCCTGTAAATTGTGCCCTGTTATAGCATTAATCTCCAATACATGCCAATCAGCTTTTCCCTTCAACACTTTTCTCAATACCTTATATGTTGCAACGGTTTAAGTCAAAGTAAGGTCGCCACACAAACGCAACCATTTTTGTTCACTCTTAATCTTCATATATAATTGACCCCAATTCACTCTAATTTCCCCTAATGACTAACTCCAGCCAAGCCACTTCCAACACAGCATCAATATTAGCCCAGGGAAATGGGTAAAATGTCAATATTAGCCAAAAGAAATGGGTAAAATGTCTGGATGACTCAAAGCCCTCATAGGTCGAGCTCCACATACTTGCATACCCCTGTAGAATACACTTCTACCCATCCCATCACCCACAACTACTGAGTATCTTTTGTGGGTTGCACCTCAATTCCAAACTCCTTCACCGTGCTAGCAGAGATGAAATGATGGGTAGCCCCACTATCAATCAAAATCACCACCTCTCTATTCTTGAGTAGTCCCCTCGCCTTCATCGTTTAATAGTTGGGAGATACTAATTACTATAAACTGAGAAAGTTCCATGGTTGAATATGACTTCTCAGCGTCTTCCTCTTCCAACTCAGTGAAATCCTTTTCAACTATCTCTTCATCACTCTCCTCGTCCACTATCAACAATTGTAGTCACTTGACATTACACTTATGGCATGGCCCAAATTTCTCTTCACACTAAAGAATAACCCAAGCTACCTTCTGTGAATTAACTCAGCCTCAGATAATCTTTTGGTGCTTTAGGTGCTACTACTTCCACTACTAGGGGTCGCATTTAGAGGCGTCACCTTATCATTAGAAGTTATGGACCTTTTGACATCCTTACTATTGGATAGGAAGGTGGAACGAAAGATTAAAATTTTAAAATCCTTATCCAGATATGGACTAAACAAACTCATTTAAATCAAGGTCGATAGAAGAGTTACCTTTTGATTCCTCAAACTTGATGCGTGTTCTCTTCAAGAATTTGAATCTTAAAGAGCTAACAACATAGATCTACTCTCTTTGCCAGTATCCACATAAATAGCTCTCTAACTCGAACAGCATGCTAGCGCTCCCAACATCCGTTCTTCTTTGAACGTTAGTTTTCTTTTCCTTAGGGTGTTTCGTGGCTCTCAAAGTGTT